TAGATTTTATTTTTAATTATGTTTGAACAAGTAAAGTCTCAAAATGTCTCAAGGAAACAAAGGTATAAAAAGCAAAAGAATGAAGAAGATGTGGAAGTAGAAACACAAGCTGTACAAGAGGAGAGTTTAGTTCCACGAGATACTGTAGAAATAAATCAAGAAAGAGGGGAAAATGTCAATATGGCAGCTTTGATGTCATTAATGATGCAGATGAACAAGACAATGGAAGAGAATTCGAAAAAAATGGAACAGAAATTGGAAGAGAATTCAAAAGAATTAAGGGAAGACATAAAAAAATGGAAGAGAATTCGAAAGAGAATTATAGAAAATTAGAAAAGAAAATGGAAGATAATAATAATATAATTGTAAAACAAATAGAAAATCAAATAGATAAAAAACTTGATGCTGCAGAGAAAAGGTAGCAAATGAAATAAAAAATATACGGCATGACTACAAGAAAAGGATAGAAAATGAGAGGACAGAAGTAAATAAGATTATTCAAGAATGGACCCTAGAACAAGGTACCCTAAGCAGGTACTAGTTTCCCGGGTCAGGAAACTCCTGGAATCTGTGGAGGACAAGGACTGATTTACTTTCCCTGGTAGGACTGTCCCCGTTAAAAATTGTTTCGATCTGTATTAATCTATATTTTGTTTACAATTGGTAACCCTATCAACTACTAAGGTAGCTATTATATGAGAGCTAATGCCGTAGCGTTGATAATGCGGAAACAGGATACATATTTTCCTAGTTATACGTGACCGTAGTTGCGTCATGATGAGATCACTTTGTCCACGTTTTCAGCGCTGTGTATAACTTGATGCGCGCTATATGCAACGCGTGAATTGCGCGGTGCTAACTCCACCGACCGCGCTAGTAATGCTTGCCGTCGGAATAACGCCGAGTCACCGACTGCAATGTCAAATAATTTACTTGACGGTAGTTCTACTGTAAATAAAAAAGTTACAATATATGGGACAAGTAATGAGGGGACAGCGATATGAACTGCTAAGGCGATAATACAGGAAAAGATAAGAGGAGGAAGGAGTATGGGAAGAAGGAGAATGTCATGGTTGAAGAATTTAAGGGACTGGTTTAAATGCAGTTCTATAGAACTTTTCAGAGCAGCAGTAGATAGATTAAAGATAGTGATGATGATATCCAACCTCCGATTGGGAGACGGCACTTAAAGAAGAAGTTCTACTGTTCAGGGGGGTCGAAGACGCTAAAGTGGCGCTGCTAATGCGACGGCACTAGCACTCGTAACGTATGGTCCTAAAGTTTTGGGAAAAATTTCACCTGGTCTGATTGTGAAGCAAAATGCATTTAACAAAGAAGGCTATGGAATTGAAATGTCATCAGTTATTGGCATTAATAAACAAAGCAGAATATTTTGGTTTGTGCTCTGCAAAATGTCTTATAAAATTGATATTCGTCGAGGTGTTTATAATATGGTTGGGCGAATGTCGAAACGAGATATTGTTAATATTTATCGAGATCAAAACATAAGCAAATCGGCAATTTATCGCACAATCACAGAATGTGAAGAAGGGATACCATGTGTTAACTTGCGTAAAAGTGGCCGACCGCGGATTTTGAACCATATAAGAGAGGCAAGACTGATTGAAGCAGCTAAGAACAAAATTGGGGTCTCACAGCGAAAACTGGCCAGAAGATTTCATGTTGGAAAGACTACAGTATACAGGACCCTATCGAGTAACAATATTATCTACCGGAAAAGAAGGAAACGCTCCAAAATACCGCTCCAAAATGTTGCCGCACGTTAAGGCGAGTGCATTTCGTCAACAAGTTGATCGTGATGGACGATGAAATATATTTTACTTTGTCCAACTCTGAGATGAAGGGTAACGATGGGTTTTACACGAACGATTACGAAAATGTACCTGATGAAATAAAATTCAAAAGTAAAAAAATTTGAGGACAAAATTTTGGTGTGGTGTGCAATTTCTGAAGCTGGCTTTATCTCACAGCCCTACATTGGTGATATTCGAGACGAAGCCTTAAACGCAAATATTTATATTCAAAGTCTCTCTAAATTTCTTCAGTTTGTGAACACACATCATGCAAATGATCAAAATAGTCTTTTGGCCAGATCTTTCTTCATGTCATTACGCGAGGATCACAAGGGACTGGTACGAAACTAACAACATTACCTTTGTACCGAAAGCAGACAATCCCCCCAACCTACCTCACGCTCGTCCAATTGAAGAGTTCTGGGCAATATTAAGTCCAAAAGTCTATAAAAACGGATGGGAAGCACAAAATCAGGTACAGTTAAGACGCCACATATATACAAAAATTAGAGAAATTGACGCCGAGGTCGTCCAAAGGATGATGCAACGTGTCGGGGGATTATTAGGCAAATCGAAAATAATGGTCCCTTGTCTGTCATTTGAATTTTGATTTATAATAAGGATAGTTAAGTTAAATTGTTGAATAATTTAATAAAAATATAAGATTATTGTGGTCAAAGTTATATGCTTTTGAAATTTTTCCCAAAACTTTAGAACCATATGTTATAACAGGTACCTAAGAAAATGACCGGAAACTACCATTTTTAATAGAATATGTTATTTGACATGGATCTTTTATATTATTAAATTAAAAAAACACATTACATTCACAATTATTGAAAAATTGTTGTCGTAAACTATACATGTATGTCTACAATGTTAAAGATAAAGATTACTATGACCGACCCTGTAGTAATAATACATTTTATACCTCTAGCAAGCAAATATAAAGCGGATTTTGCTCCTACATGGCAGAAATTGAGCTTTGGGATTCCGTGGGATGTTTATACCTTCTCTCCTCATAATGTACGGAAATAAATGAAATATCTCCTAGTAAAAGATCTAAGGAATGGAATGCAGAATATCTCATTAAAATGAATTCCTAGGTTCGGTTTTCAAGGTGTTTGAATGTTACTTCTTCACGATTTCTTTCTGGAATTCATGAAAATGGCACGACACCTTTGAAAATCACGTTTTATTAAAACTCATCCTTTAACAGTATATGAATTTGTATAAATATTGTAGATGTGTGACCTAGAGACGTGATTTCCTACATCGTGGAAAAATTCAGAGAATTTAATATTTTTACTTTTCTTTAAGGATAAGGAACTAAAATGACATAAAACCTATTATTATTCCTTTTGGAAAACCACTAAGAGGTTAAAAAGTTTATTGTTGCATAAATCTTCATTAAAAAATGCAGAGGGGGCTAAGAAAAAGCAATTTACAGGTCAATAAATTTGATCTCAATAAATCTATTCATAGAAGGTGAAATTAAATTAGTCACTCCAAAAGACGTGGTCAATGAAATTAAAGAAAACATGAGTCACATTCTTCTTCTTCTTCCTTTGCCCTATCCGTTTCGGACGCTGGCTATTAACAAGGCTATTTTGACTTTGTTTACGGCACCTCTGAACAGTTCGGTCGATGTTAGTCCGAACCATTGTCGCAGGTTATGCATCCATGAGTGTCGTCTACTTCCCGGTCCCCTCCTACTGTCGATTATTGCTTGGACTATTAACTGTAGTAGCCGGTACTTAGTATGCCTCATGACATGTCCGAAGTACTCAAGCTTCCGTTTCTTTACGATGAAGATTATTTCTTTGCTTTTGCCTATTCTCTGCATTACTTCCACGTTAGTGATTTGGTCTGTCCAGGACATCCGAAGAATACGATATATCCACAGCTCAAAGGATTCTAGTTTCTTCAGGGTGGCTTCCGTTGTGGTCCATGCCTCTGCTCCATAGAACAAGACCGGGAAGACATAATACTTGACCAGTCTTAATTTTAGTTCATTGAGATTTTGCTTGTGAACCACTTTTTCATATTGTTGAACGCGTTTTGCGCTTTTTCAAATCGTGATCTTATTTTTGTTGACTGGTCCCATTTTGTGTTGACTGTGTTTCCAAGGTATGTGTATGTCTCTACGTGTTCTATTTTTCGGTTGTTTAATGTCAATTGCATCGGAGGTTGTCATAATTGAGTCACATTAAAGCACCTAATTTGATTTTAACAACCCGTAATATCCTTAAATAACTTGCTTTGAAGGTCATAGTCAAACTGACATGTTATATTCTTAATGTCTCGTGTAGATTAAGGAATGTCACAAAAATATGGAAAGTAGTCAAGGTTATAGTGCTTCTTAAATCCAGAAAAAAAAACTAAATAGGGTAAGAAAGTGTACCTCTGGACATTTCACAAAATGTTACTTTTGGATTTTAACTAAGAAAAAAATCTTTTTGTGCAACGTATTTATCGGACTGCTTTGAATTATCGTGAATTTTGTATAATCTATAATTTGACCATTTTAAAATCAAATTTCATTTGTTAAAATACTGTCATATTGTAAAAAGGAACATCATCTACGTCTACCTTTGGACTGGTAGACAAGTTGATAATGTCAATTAAAATAGTAATATAATATATAAATGTATATATATATATATATATATAATATATATAATAATATATATATAATATAGAGTTTATAATTAGCTACCATATATTATCTATTAAAAAACATTGTTTATCTTACCGTAACTTTAGAATTTGTACCGTAACTTTGTCGAGTTAGGATGTTAAAAAACTTAGCTAAATAGTAACAATATAGTGGTGTTTTTTGTTACTATGTGCAAAAAAGTTTTTTTTAACGTTGGAAATGTAATCAAGGTTAATCGAAAAACCCAATGTAACTACATTTAAAAGGAAGTAATTCTTTGAATTGTCGGCAATAACTAAATTTTTGATTGTTAGAAAGTTTAAATGTGAGGTTCTGTTTTTTTCAGAACGCATGTGCTGACAAATCTAGCAATATCAAATCAATTGGCAACAATTTGTTAAAAATGTGTCCTTTGTCACGAATTTTATTTAGTTGATTTAATTCTTCGAATATTTTAATTATCTAAATATATTCGATATTGTCAATATCAATATGCAAATATTTTCATGACATTTCTTATGTTTTAGGCATGTACTACGGAGTCAGCATTTGCCTTGTATCATTCGCTTCGGCTCTTTCAGTGGTTACATTAAATATATACCACCGCGGTGTTAGAGGATCTGCTGTTCCTCGGATACTACGGACTCTAGTTTTAGAAAAAATGGCACCTTTAGTTTTTATGAAGTTCGAAAATCACCACACACCAATACAGGTGAGGTTCCATACAAAAAACAATAAATTAGCTTGATAAAATGTCATCTTTGTTTTAAAACAAAACTCAATTCCACTTGTTTAATACAATTATTGATATAGTAGTAGGAAGAAAATAAAATGGAGATGATACTCTATATTTAACATTCCGTTATTAGGTATTATATTTCTCTGTTATGTTACCTGTAGTGTTAGAAAATATTATACAGATACGTTTACTCTAAGAATATCGATGTAATCTAAACCTTTTGCTAATATTTCATCCGAAAGTCCATTTTTGAATTTATTAGTTAGATTGACAAATCCAGAAACACACCATACACTTGCACATGCACCAAAAATAAAAAACGAAATATACGAAACAAACTAGTGGGAACACCAAACGGAACACAGGAGGAAAAATATACAAAACATAAAGAGTATCTGCACGCTGCTGCTATAAAAGCATTAAGGGAAGAGGAGAAAACAAATATACTGAATCAAAAACCGTATTGGTGGATATATGAGATAGAAATCATAAACAGAGACAAAAGACAAAGTTATTAAAAATGACTTAAAACAGAAACATCAAATGTTAAAAATATATATTGCAGAAACAATTATGAAACAAAAAATCAAGAAAGAGGACTAAAATAAATTCTAGGAAAAAAAATTTACTGAGATTGATAGACTCCTCGGAAAATCAAAGTCAACAACTACTTGGAAAACAATTAATACATTAAAATCAGACAAAAAATAGGTTTTGACAATTGACCCAATTGACTGGAAGATATATCACGAAGATCTTCTTACTAAAAATATCCCCCAGAGGGAGTTTAGTGGCTATCCTGATATTGTGTATTGTCCGTCTCCAAAGATCTCTATCTCTGGTCTTTTCTTTTAACTCCTGTATTGTAGCATATGGATTAATATTATATTATATATTTTGTATACCACCTACCCATACAAAAAGGAATGTCTAGTCACATCATCACCCCGCCCAACGTAATTCAGTTATATCAACACTCTTGTTTTCCGTTCAATAAGACTTAGCGACGACAATCACAGATCTTCCGAAATCAATTCAATAAGGAAAACACTCTTACAAAACAGATACCACAAAACTCAAATCAATAGGAGCATTCAAAAACATTTAAACCCCATTTCATCAAAAAAAGAAACCTTGCCGCCTGTACAATCCAAAATCTTTCTACCTTTTATCAAAGGTGTCTCTAACAAGATCAAGTACCAATTCTTTTAACGGTCTAAACATTAAAACCATCCTCATTACTCACTCCAAGCTGCCCAATTTCGTCAGATCCCTTTTTCTTCTGCTAGTGACTATCCTCTATGGATGTTGGCTACCACAATGGCCATCGTATTTTATTAGCAGCTGTTCGAAATAGGTCTGTGGTGGTCATACCTGTCCACTGTCTTAAATTCTTAAGCCAGGATATTCGTCGGCGTTCTGGTCCTCTATTTCCATTTATTTTACCTTCTAATATCAATAGTAGGATTCTATATTTATTTTCATTTCTCATTATATGTCCGAAGTATGCTAACTTTCTCTCTTTAATGGATTTGAAGACTTCAGGTTCTTTTTGTAAACGTTGCATTACTGCGCCGTTGGTTACATGATTTACATACATAAGAACATAAAACACATAATAGTTAAGAGTTTTGAGTCGGAGATGTAAGTTCAAGGTTAAATTGCAGAGATCTTTGTTCATCTGTTGGAAGTCTGTCCTTGCTTTGTGAATCCTACATTTAATCTCGTATGAGTGATCCAGCTGTCTGTGATGTTACATCCTACGTATGTTATTTTTTCCAATCTATCCATATACCTTATTGTCTGCCATAAACTTTGCATCTATATCTTGGTTTTTGCTTATGATCATAATTTTCATCTTCTTATTATTAAGTTTAATTCCATATTTTCTACCGATGTTAACTACTTGATCTATCAGTCTTTGTAATCATTTAGCACTATTCGCAAAAAGGACAGTGTCATTTGCATATCTTATTATTATTTATTACTTCACCGTTAACAATCACTTCATCAGTCGTTTCTCCCAAAATTTCTCGAAATAGATGTTCATAGTGCGCATTAAACAGCAAAGGCATGCTACCTTGCAAGAGCACGCAACCTTGTCGTACTCCTCTTCATATTGGGACTTCATCGGATAATTGATTGTCTACTCAAATCTTGGCTACTCATTTTCTACAGAGATTGGCTATTATTCTTATATCCTTGTCATCGATGTTGGCGGTTCGCAAAGTTTCAATAAAGTCAATAAGTTTCAATAGTGTCAGCAAAGTTTCAATATTGTCAGATCCCTAAAAGACCAAATTACCAATTAAAACTATGGTGTCTAAGTGATACGTTGTTTCAGTTGCATACGAAATATATAGAACAGATAAATTGACGAATTTCCAACCGTATTTACGAACATTCTATATCTGTAAAACATTACAATACTATTTCAGTCCTAGCACAACATTATAAAAAAATTATTACACAACATTATATATATATATATATATATATATAGGTTATTCCACGAATATTTTACTGTGCAACTAGAAGTATGAAAGTAAACTGGTCTAATCATTATTCCAATCAAAAGGATCTACTGTTGGTATGACATCTAAACTAAAATTATTTCAGTTAATAGATGTTCAGATAGACGCAAAATTTATTGTGAAATTTATTCCGAAAATAACAAAAATTTTTACGCAAACGCTCCTACAAATAAATACAATGACGTCTATGAAGCCAAATGTGTTCATCAGATATTTGGGTTGGGTTTCTCTGTGAAATGTAAACACCAAAGAGGCGTGCCGGGTTTCTTTGATATTACACTATTATATTACTTTATTAGGTACTACAACCGTAATAAAAAGAAATATACTATTTTTAATATAAATGAAAAGAAATTGGCAGAACGATGGTTCAGAAACCAGAAAAAGAATCTTATATTTCACTGTATTACCACTTATAATGATAACACTTTGAGTGGAAGAGAGTTGTCCGTTAAAAGAGACTATAGTGTAGAGTATTTGTTTATTGAAGCCAAAAATGCCGAGACGTCTTTAAGATGTAGAGAACTTTATATTTAACGTAATTTCTTATTTTACTGCTGAGAAAACCAACGGGGGCCCTTTGCGACCAGTTCGATCCGTACATAAAGTTGTGTATGATGCACTCTGTATTAGTGAAACAAAACTAAACGGTTTTGCAAAACGTAAATAAAAGTGGACAAAGTGAACAAAATGTTGCACAAGACAGATTGGCTTTAAGTTCAAAAAGGAAGACAATAGAAAGGCTTTGTGTGAAAGAGCTAGTGTCGTTCACAAAAGAATAGAATTTTTATGAAATTATAATATGGACGACAGTGATTATGGCTATGAATCTGATGGTTGATGATAGTTTTAGGAGATTAGGAGAATAAGAGAATAAGTACGTTTTTTTGTTTTTTTTAATACTAATTGAATATTCGACTAAATAAATTACACTATTTAATCACTTAACTATTCTTGTACTTCGTTTAAATCACTTAATTCAAAAACCAACTTGTTTACAATACTAAACTCAATGATAGTAACTACTTCAAAATCTGAATGACAACTGTTCTATAAACTATCAACTTTATATTTATATCATGACAGCATTTTAAAAATGGGGAGAATTTACTATTGTACAATTTAGCACATTGGACCATTTAAATCGATACCTTAAACCGAGTTTAAAACAGCCGTATAGTCGTGGAATAGAGTATAAAACGGCTTAAACAAGATAACAACGATAACGCTAAAATAATGCCAACAACAAGGCAACCGCTGCTTCAGGCGATCCCCCGCACCAACCGATTTCGTTCAGACCGTTTCCGCGCATAGTGTTGCCGCGCATACTAAGGGTATAAAAGCAGCTACACAGGGTAAGACCGGTCGTCAATCCTCAATAGAGAAAACAAAACCCAAGAGAGAGAACTAATACCCGGAGAGAATACCAACCTTAGAGAGAAAATAAAGGAAAGAAAGAGGACAGTTCGAAGCTCTACTAATTCAGACTAACACAAAGCACTGTGGAGGCCCCAACAAAGGAGACCTTACCAACACGAGATAGGAATAGGTAGATTGAGACCTCGGTGCCGTTTACGGTTCTCGCATTTCTGAACACTGGCACGTCACGAGTGAGGAGAGTAGGCTCATTGAGAACTCGAACTCGAACGGAACCATATCCCTTTTCATAATGGGTGTCAAAATGAGTTTTAAATTTTTAAAGGGGTTCTTCAAGTTTAAAGATTTAAGAATAATGAAAAATAGCTCTAATTATATATATTATATATATATATATATATATATATATATATATATATATATATATATTATATATTATATATAACTTTAATATAGAAAAAGAGTGACAAGAAAAAATTATAGAATATTCAGTGTGACGTGAATAAAAAATGACAGATGTAGAAGAGCAGAGTGGATTAACAGCTGATAGGTCTTATACATATTAATTATTCTATCTCAGGCGAGTTATTGAGAAAACCAAAGAATTTCTGCAAAAATTCTGGTTTGTTTGCTAGCTCGCGCACGTTACTGTTGTAAACGAAAAAGCAAACGCTCAGTTGAAAGGTCAATTTAAGTACTTTAAAAAGTGTTTTAAGAGTTTTTTCAAAAAACCTTTTATTTTTTCGCTAAAAGACATTAAAAGTATCGATTTTAGCTATCGTTAAAATTGACTTCAAGTTCAAGAAGTCATAACTTGGGTTTTATAACACCTACGAAGATTAAAAATGATCAGTCTCTGTCTTATTTAACTATTTTTCTTTTGGTTTTATGATCATACACATAATATGTCATATGATGATATCTGCAAAAAAATCGCTTAAAATATGCATTTTTAGGTTATAGACGGCCACCTTTACGCGCCAATCTCCAAAAAAACTATTAACTGTACGAAGATTTACCATACAACATTTTTTGGTTCGAATTTATTCCTCTATTATAAGT